CCTTGACTGAGAAGAGGGGTTCATTCAGTTGGTTGGGGGACTTAGAATTTTGTTTTTGGTTTACAATGTAGAAGAATATTAATTATTCGAAAAACATCACACATAATTTACGGAGGCTTCACAATAAGGTATTACATAAAAAACTAAAGCAGAGTAAAACTGTTTTATTTCCTGTTTTGGAAAATATTACTTTCTCCAGGCAAGATGGTATTGCAAGTTCAAGCTTAGAGACTGATACGGTTTGGCTGTGTCTCCACTCAAATCTCATCCTGAATTCTCATGCGTTACGGGAAGGACCCAGCGGGAGGTAACTGAATCACGGGGGCAGGTCTTTCCCAGGCTGTTCTCGTGATAGTGAACACGTCTCACGAAATCTGATGGTTTTAAAAAGGTGAGTCCCCTGCACAAGCTCTCTCTCTTTTTGCCTGCTGCCCTCCATTTAAGATGTGACTTGCTCCTCCTTACTTTCCACTATGCTTGTGAGGCCTCCCCGGCCATGTGGAACTGTAAGTCCATTAAACCTCTTTTTCTTTCCAGTCTTGGGTATGTCTTTATCAGCAGCATAAAAACAAACTAATACAGAGGCCCTCCCACAATTCTCCCCACCCATGGCTACAATAGGTAATTTTTATTTTTTTAATTTGTATTTTTTAAATTTTTTTGAGACAGAGTCTCGCTTTGTCACCCAGGCTGGAGTGCAGTGGCACGCTCTCGGCTCACTGCAACCTTTGCTTACCAGGTTCAAGCAATTCTCCTGCCTCAGCCTCCCGAGTACCTGGAACTACAGGTATGCACCACCATGCTCAGATAATTTTTGTATTTTTAGTGGAGACGGGGGTTTCGCCATGTTGGTCAGGCTGGTCCAAACACCTGACCTCAGGGGATCCGCCCGCCTCAGCCTCCCAAAGCACTGGGATTACAGGTGTGAGCCATCATGCTTGGCCTACGATAGATAATTTTTAAAAGACAAATTTAAAAACCAACAACAGTCCATAGACCAAAAATGAATCGGAAACACATAGCAGCTCACAGGACCCAGACTTTGGGCCTGTGGGGGCTCTGGTCCCAGAAACAGGGAAAGGTGCTTGGGAAGGCTGTCCCTGAAGAGTGAGGAGCAGAAAGTGCCTGAGAGGAGTGGAGAACAGCCAAGAGCATCGCTGAAAACCAGGGCTGGAGGAAGTCTCTTGCCTCTGTAACTGCCCTATGGGTTCACCTTGCCTGCTGCCTAGACAGAGCCGATTCATCAAGACAGGGGAATTGCAATGGAGAAAGAGTCACAGCAGAGCCGGCTGTGCAGGAGACTGGAGTTTTACTATTACTCAATCAGTCTCCCCGCACATTCTGGGATCAGAGTTTTAAAGCTAATTCGGAGGGTGGGGCTTTGGGACATGTGGAGTGCTGACTGGTCAGGTTGGAGATGGAATCATAGGGGGCTGAAGTGAGGTTTCCTTGCTGTTTTCTACTCCCGGGTGGGCGCCAGAACCAGTGGAGCCAGATTACGGGTCTGGGTGGTGTCAGCTGATCTATGGAGTGCTGGGTTTGCAAAATATCTCAAGCTCTGATCTAGGGTTTTACAATAATGATGTTATACCCAGGAGCAATTTGGGGAGGTTTAGACTCTTGGAGCCAGAGTCGCAGGACCCCTAACCTGTAATTTCTAATACTGTAGCTAATTTGTCAGTCCTGCAAAGACAGACGGGTCCCTGGGCAAGAAGTGGGTATTTTCGGGAAAGGGCTGTTACCCATTTTGTTTCAGAGTTCCTTCCCAACGTTAGTTCGGCCTACGCCCAGGAATGAACAAGGACAGCTTAAGTTAGAAGCAAGATGCAGTCGGTTAGGTCTGATCTCTTTCACTATCATAATTTCCTCAGTTATAATTTTCTAAGGCAGTTTCACTTCCATGAAAGGAATGTGGAAAAACATACAACTTCTGCAGCAATATCTGGGGATGGAGACGAGGACAGCCCTCGGCCCAGCCTCTTGCTGGCTCCAGGACTGGATCTACAGCTCCCAACGGGAAGGCCAGGCAAGCACCCAAGCATGACCCCAAAAGGCTGGACGGAGGCTCCTGCCAGAGCATGACACACAGTGAATACCCAGGGAAACAGAACATAACCCCCTTTGCAGAAGCCTGCAAGCTTAGATTTCAAAACACAGGACTCCAAGAAGACAGATAATGATATCAGGCATCAACTGGTAAATTCAGCCCAGAAAACAATAGAGCACAGTTTAAAATAAGTGTGTCTAGGCCAGGCAGTGGCTCAGGCCTGGCAGTGGCTCACGCCTGTAATCCTAGCACTTTGGGAGGCCGAGGCGGGTGGATGGCTTGAGCTCAGGAGTTCGAGACCAGCCTAGGCAACATGGTAAAACCCCGTCTCTACAAAAAATACAAAAATTAGCCCAGCATGGTGGCACATGCCTGCAGTCTCTGCTACTTGAGGGATTGAGGTGGGAGGATTGCTTGAATCTGGGAGGCAAAGGCTGCAGTGAGCCAAGATCACACCACTGCACTCCAGCCTGGGTGACAGACTGAGACCCTACCTCAAAAAATAAATAAAATAAATAAACAGATGTGCTTAGGATTCTCATGGTAGATAAAGAAAGAAAACAGCAATGAACATTAAAAACATTATAAAACAAAAACTGGAAGAAATAAGAACAAATGGACACAAAAAAGAAAATTAGAAATATAGACCAATGCAGTTTCATTTAAAAACTCAATCGATGAAACAAACTAATTGGACGGACAGAGAGCTAGTAAACTGGAAGATCGTAAACCCAGAACACAGAGGCCAACATTGGGAAGCGCAGTTTGAGAGATGGAGAAGACACTGAGTGGGTACTCCCTTTTAGGAGATCCCAGAACAAGAATTCCGTCAGGGTGCAGAGGTGCCACGGGAGGACAGATGGCTGGTAACCTTGCTATCTCAGGTGAGAAGAGACGGCCAGCGCCAAGCAGCATAGCCAAACCAACCCACACTCAGAAATACCACAGCAGAATTTCAGAACAAAGACATGAAAAGAGAAGACAGATTTCCTTCATGGAAGTGGCAATGCCACGGGCAGCAAACTTCTCAGCAGGGTAGCAGCAGTTGCTGCCCCAGAGGAAGGTCCTAAAACCACCACATGCCGCACCAGCTTTATAGCCACTCAATAATCAGATCAAAATGAACACTTATTTGTTCCTACGTTGGGAGGCTCACCCAAGAATGCTTGCCAAAAGGCTACCAATGGATGTGATCTGCCTGGGTAAAAACTGAGAACAGAAAAGGGCAAAACATGCTCGTACAAACAATTAACTACTGACTACAAAAATTAATTTAGCATGAAAAATGCAAAACAAAAACCTGAGGCAACAATAACAAGCAAGAGGGAACAGGCTCAAATTGTTGGTAAATGTTTTATTTGTGAAAAGAGATACTGGAATGCTGAACCTTGTTAGAAACAGCATTGTGCTGAAATCTTCCATCCCTTTCGCTGCTGCTCATGGCACCACCCATGCCACTCCCCATTCTCTCCTTGCTCTGCCCAGGAGGTTGGCCTCCCCACGCTCCTGGGAAGGTACTGGTTGTGCCTTCAGCTTCCTGACTGGTACCATAGTTGGGTACGTACGAAAACGTTTTTTTTGAGACAGGGTCTCGCTCTGTCACCCAGGTTGACATTCAGTGGCACAATCATAGCTCACTGCAGCCTCAAAATCCTAGCTTCAAGCGCTGGAACTACAGGTGTGTGCCACAACCCCCCTTTTTTTTTTTTTTTTTTAATTTTTTGTAGAGACTGGGTTGCCCAGTCTGGTCACAAACTCCTGGCCACAAGTGATCCTCCCACCGTGGCCTCCCAAAGTGCTGAGATTACAGGCATGAGCCATCGTGTCTGGCCTGAAAACATTTCTTATTGTGATCTTCACAAAAATAAAATGTAACTCCCCTAAGTGGGTAGTCATTTCTCCATATATGTTGTTTCCTTAAAAAGGTGAAATCACACCGGCCCTAGTGGCTCACACCTGTAATCCCAGCACTTTGGGAGGCCCAGGCGAGCGGATCACGAGGTCAGCAGATCAAGACCAGCCTCGCCAACATGGTGAAACCTCGTCTCTACTAAAAATACAAAAATTAGCTGGACGTGGTGGCGGGCACCTGTAGTCCCAGCTACTGGGGAGGCTGAGGCAGGAGAATTGCTTGAACCTGGGAGGCGGAGGTTGCAGTGAGCCGAGATCACGCTACTGCACTCCAGCCTGGGAGACAGAGCAAGACTCTATCTCAAAAAAAAAAAAAAAGAAATTATGGCTGGCTCTAGCTAAACTGTCCGGGTTTCAAGAGTGTTTCTGGACGGGATGGAGGGTGCTACTTTTCATTAACAGCTGGATCCAGGAATGAAGGTGCACGGGACTACAGGGTTCCACATGACCACGAAGCCCCTCCCCTTCCGCCCGTGTCATTTCTTCTTCTCACAAATTCTCAAAACCCTTCCACAGGACACTCACTGCGTTTCCTCGCCCCCCTCACTCCTCCGTCCACGGCAGGAGACTCAGCAGAGGAGCCTTACTTCTCCAAGGAGGACGGTCTGAGTCTGCGTTCCCCTGAGAACAAGCCCTGAGGCAAGATTTGGGGACAAGCAGCTCACGTGGGAAGTGACTCCAGGAAGCCCCAGGAGAGAAGCGGGGAGTGAGCCCAGCGGGAAGGGCAGGCAGCGAGGGCGGCTCCAAAGATGGTGCCTCAGCACGAATTCTTTTCTGCTCGGCTGTCCTCGAGCAGCCCCGCCCGCCCCGGGCCCTCCGGCTCCCCAGACAGCACTCAGCATCCCGCTGTCTTCCTTCCCCTCTGTGCCAGGCCGCTCGCCCCTCCAAACCCCCTGGGTCTCTACTTGCCCGTCGGTCACCGCCCCTCCACGGCAGCTGGCGCGGAAAAATGGATGCTGCCTTTGGTCGCGTGCGCGCGCAGGCGCACCACACCCGTGCCCCCGCGCAGGCGCACCACAACCTCCCCACCGCCGGCGCAAGCACCCTCTCCCCGCGCAGGCGCACCACAACCCGCCCCCGCATACGGGCACAAACCGCCACAACAGGCACACCCCCGCGCGCAGGCGCAGCACACCCCTCGCGCAGGCGCACCACGGACACACCCACGCTCGGGTTGGCGCCTGCGGGCTTCGGTACCGGCGTATCCATGGCGACCGCGTTGTCTGGGTGGCCTCCATTGTTGGGCTGCAGCTCTCGGCGGCGTGACTCGCCAGCGCTCCAGTGGGCCGGGGAGCGGCAGGTGAGACGGGCGGGCACGGCCAGCTCCCTGGGCCCTCGAGGCGGGCGGTGGCAGGAAGGTGGTGCCGCGGCCCCTGGTGCCCTGTCGCGTAGCTCCAGCCCCGATGCTGACGGCAAAGGCCACACTCCTCAGGCCTGGAATGTGAGGCCCAGAGCGTCGGATCCAACTCTGCCTCGCCCGGATGGGGAAACCGAGGCAGGGAGCAGGGGTGGGCGTGCGTGGGGATCCCTTGAAGGCAGCCTCGGAAACCCCACTGAGCCAGCGCTGCCTGGGCGCTGTGTAAGTCCAGGCTGTCGTTTCACTCCTGGTTTTAAGATATTTTCCCTGTTCCGAGGTTTGAAGCCTCCCGTCCTCTGTTTTAAGTTCCGTGATTCGGGGAAAACAAGTGAACTGACCGTGAAAAAGCCCGCAGGCTTCCATGGAATGTAGGCCGCCTGGGGTCGAACCCTGCTGGGTCTCAGTGTCGCCGCTACCTCCCAATTAACTGCGCCCCTGCAGCAGTTCCCTAACTGATCTACGCCTCAGCCTCCTCCTTAAAACGGGAATGAAGTACACACACATGTGCCAATCGTTGGGCGGTTGAGTGATTTGAATTAGATGAACTGGTGCATTCCAACGTTGATTCTTTTTTTTTTTTTGAGACTGAGTCTGGCTCTGTCGCCCAGGCTAGAGTGCAGTGGCCGGATCTCAGCTCATTGCAAGCTCTGCCTCCCGGGTTTACGCCATTCTCCTGCCTCAGCCTCCCGGGTAGCTGGGACCACAGGCGCCCGCCACTTCGCCCGGCTAGTTTTTTGTATTTTTTAGTAGAGATGGGGTTTCACCGTGTTAGCCAGGATGGTCTCGATCTCCTGACCTCGTGATCCGCCCGTCTCAGCCTCCCAAAGTGCTGGGATGACAGGCTTGAGCCACCGCGCCCGGCTCCAACGTTGATTCTTATTGCCGAATAAATTGTTTGGAAATTGCAAGTGGAAGTGTGCCTCGCTGAATGAGGTTTTGGTGAACAATAGTTCTGAGTAAAAGTGTTGCTGGACAACGAAAATTCAAGATTCTTAATTTAACAGGTTTTTCCCCGGTGCTTAACTGGGTGTTAGCCAGACTTAGTTCTGGTCACTGGGCCAAAATGGTAAACAAAAGACAGGCTTCCTGGCCTCAAGGAACTAAAAACATATTTCAAAAGGCACAGAACCACACCAGAGATAAGAAACAGTGCAAACTCCCCCCCCCCCAATCATTTCATGGAAGCGGTACAGTTGATTTACAGGCTTTGAAGTGTTCTGATCTGTTTATATCCCTAAAATGATCATTTCTAGTTATTGTGCGCCTTTGCGTTTTCCAGGAGTTAAATCTTGGAACTCGATTGTACAAAGTGAAAGCAGAGAATTTTAATCTGAACCTCTTTGTATTCCTTTTTTTTTTTTCACGTTTAAAAGTTAGATTTTTGCTACAGCTTATGAAAAATGACAGCTTTTAAAGCAAGTTAAATTACTGCAGATCTGCCACATAGCTGTTCTGTTTTGCCTCAGTATAATTAGTTGTTTCTACATCTTCCCTTCCTGTGTCTCCAGGTGACTCCAGAGCAAGGAGGATGAGCTGCTGTGCCTGGAAGAGAACGGATGGAGGGAAGCGGCTCCTACACAGTTCCCTCCGTGGCTGCTGCTGATCTGGAGGAGGGTGCTGGTCAGACTAGGAGCTGGCCTGCCACCCCCTCCAAAGATGTTCACAAGTGTGTTGGAGGCATCATCTTTTCCTCCTCACCGATTTTAGACTTGAGTGAAAGTGGTCTGTGCCATTTGGAGGAGGTCTTTAGAATCCCCAGCCTTCAAGTAAGTGGGGCTGCTCCTCTGGCTGTGTTGGGAGGCAGAAATGGGAATCTACCCCAGGCTTTATTTGTAGGCTTCTTTCTCTTTGGAAGTGATGAATTCTAAAATGAAATAGAGGAAAGGCTAACTCATAGTTTCATATGCCGATCACAACAAAATGGGAAATTTCATGATGGGGACCAACCCATGGAAACAGTGCATCTATTTAGATGAAGGCGTCTGTTCTCTTCCTTGCAGTTCACCTCTCAAAACCTGTGGTAGTAACTACTGCCAAACACCCTTGATCTCTTAATTTAAACACAAAACCTTAAAGAAAATCAGGCAACATTAACAGTTAAAAACTTTGTTCTCACTCGTGGTTTTGCTCATGTTACACACTGGTTTTACTTCGTGCCTGGCCCTTCTCCGGGTCAGTCCGCAGTAGATGCTGTCTTGTCCCTATGATTTCTAGAGAAAGCTTCTGTGAGGGCACAGCTTTGATGTTAGACAGTTGAGGGTTCCCCCTGCAGCACCTGTCCCTGCTGGGACTCACAGAATTTCCTTAAACCTCATTTGGTTTAATCTGGAATGTGGGAACGATCACATTTTCACATCATTTATTGTAAAAATGAATAACGTGAAAGTTCAGTGTCTGAAACACGGTTATGATATTGATTGACTTTCTTTTTGTATTTTTAGTAGAGATGGGGTTTCACCATGTTGCCCAGGATGGTCTTGAACACCTGAGATCAGGTGATCTGCCTGTCTCAGCCTCTCAAAGTGCTGGAATTACAGGTGTAAGCCACCGCACCTGGCCAGATTGACATTTTTGAGTGCTTTTTGAGAGCTACATATTTAGATTTTTAGTGGCTGCTTAAGTTATAAACTCTACATTTGCCTTGTCTTTGCTGTCAGGGCAGCACTGGTCTCGCTCTTTCCTTCCTGCTGACATCTAGGATAAGGCACTGGTCACGGGGACCTGCCTTGTCCTGGCTCCTGTTACACAGGTGTCACTTTTAATGAACAGATATCCTCAGCCCTGAATTACGGATCCAGCAGAACCCTGAGGTTTCTGTTACCTTTATGCATAATGGGAGAAGGAGGAAATTCTAGAGGTCTTCAGGCTTAATGAAGAAACTTGATAACTGCTTATAGCTTTCAGAAGACAAATGCCAGTATAAATTTTATTACCATGACATCAAGTCTCTAAATGAGGTAATCAGAGTGGTAGAATTTCTCACTGAAGTCATAAACAGCACTTCCAGAGATCCCCCATCCTCACATGAGGCTCCCAGGACCTAATAGGAAAGATGAAACTTGTGTTGTGACATAGCCGATTCACTGTTCACCATGTGAGAAACAAGCCCAAAGAATGGACTCAGAGAACAGTGGAAATGAGACTTTTAAACACAGTTTTGCAAGATTGAGTGTCTGGTGGGCAGGCACACCCAGCACGGTTACAGCAAGCCTCTTATCCCCTAGTGCACAGGTCCCGCCCCCAGTTCCTCATAGGCTGAGTACTGTGGGGGGGTCACAGTCTTCCTGGAGGTCGCCTATTGGTTGTTGGGCAGGGGCTGTAGGTGTTTTCTTTGGGGTTGTCCTGCTGCATTTTGTTGCGGCCCACAATGCATTGCACTCCCAGTCAGCTCAGGGGCTCTTCCAGTATTTGACTTATGACCTAAGTAGCTGGGCAGGCTGTTAAGAACAGACAAAACGAGATATTTTTAGGCCAGTAAACTTTCATCTTAGACTAAACCTCTTTGGTTCGGGTGAGGGCAACTAAGGGGTGGGGGGTGCCGAGAAGCAGGCGTTGGCTATCCAAGCAGGGGCCTAGTACATCCTGTTTCTTCTGTAGTTTGTTGACCTAAGCCGATTCAAGGCACTTTGTCTTGGAAATGGACCACTGTGTACGTTATTTCCTTCAATTCCCTCCTCTTTCTTTTTTTACTCCTGTTAGTCCCATTTCCACATTTATTTTTGTGTCCTTTGTTTCTCACATCATTTCAAAAGCTGTTGACTGTCTTCATCATAACAGAGTAGATCTGATTTGGTTTCTAATAATAGTTGATATGTTATGGGTATTTGTTTGTTGATGGCTGTTTCAATTAATTTTTGGGTTAACCCTTTAACATGGAGGATAATGCAACACCCTGTAGTTCTCAGGACTCCAGCCCCTATTATAAGGGATGTCAGAATGGAGGCGACCATTCCTTTCCGTTTTCCCGAACCAGCTCTCTAGCCAATCAACTCTCTAGCCAATCATCAATTCCAGCATTTTCCACCAATTTGTTGGCTAAAGTTGTTAACTCTTGTAATGCTTTTGTGATGATTCCATCTGGGGCAGTATTGTTAGGAATGAAAGTGCAATGCTTTCCGCCCATTATGACGCGTACGGCCCCTTTCTCTGCCAAGATCACGTCTAGTGCAAGTCTGTTCTTCCATGCCATTTGGCTGGTGGCATCTAACTGGCCAGCCACTTCTTTGAGAGCATCTCGAGTATAGGTGATGAATCTTTGTTGATTATAATAGATGCAATTAATCAGTCTACATTTTTATTAATAGTTGACCACCAGAAGAGTGCTGATGCAAGCCCAGCAGCTGTGTGGTTTCGGGTCTTTGGTTCGTTAGGTGCTCCTCTAGGACTCCTACTGAGTCAATATAAATATTGGGATCAAAAGAATCTGCTAGATCTCTCTGACTTAGGTGGCCATGGGGGTTCTTGGGGATCTTATGGTATGCCAGGGTGAATGGAATGGCCAGTTGAACTGAGGCACAAGTCCCAGTCCATTTGGACAGTAACAGGTCACAGAGGTTCCTCTTCCCACTTACCACCAGACATCAGCCGAGTAGTTGCCATTGTTTGACTCACCAGTAATGTTTAAGATGTGGGTACAAGTTGAGAGTTCTCCCACAGCCTTATTGAACTCTGGCCCCTGCCTAGAGAGGCAAGAGGAGTGGTTTGTATTCCCTATGGAGGATGAGGGGATTGCTCTCATGTCTGATTTTCACAAGGCAGGAAGAGCACTGATAGACTTTTGCAAATCTCATTTCCCCATGCATCCCTGTCCTGGTATAAAGCCAACATGCGTTGCATTCCATCAGGATTGGTATCCCATCCTGGGGGAACTGGAACCACCTGTGCCTGAGGCTGCCCAGCAGAACATGCGTAACAGTAGCTCTTATTAAGAGCTAGTACCGAAAATCTGACCCATTAGGCCCAGGCATTGATATCCCCATATCCAGTCTCAGTTTCTAAAGTCTGCCTCAAATCTGTTACCTTCGTTATTTTTACTCTCTTAGGGCATTGTCCGGTGGGTTAAAGGAAGTAGTGGGACCGGGAGTTATAGTAATCCTGGGTGGGCTCGGGGTAGAGTTGGTGACGTGCCTGAAAGCTAACTGTTCCACGGGATCCCTTCCTGAGATACTTATTCCTGATCCATACCTCCAAGGTTCCTGGTCTAGAGTAGCTAGGGTGTTTATGTTAATTAATATAGGATTGCACTCTAAATTTCTACAGTTAGGTGGTGTGGGGCTCTTATATAACTGTATTTTATTCTTTAAGGGTTTGGTTTTGGAAGAATGGCTCACCCAGCCTCAAAATTGGGTGGTCCACCAGACCTCATTCCAGCTAGCACAGGGCTTTCCCCGTAGCGACCTGTTTCAGGACATAGATATTTGTTTGCTCGTGACAGCTGCCTTTGGTTCCCTAAATTCCCACAAGGTAAGACTTGGCAGGCATCAAAACTTATGGTCCGGGAGGTGGAGGTTCTAGCTATATTGACTATTAGTTTGATTGGCTATTCTTCTACCAGGCTCCATCCAATAATTGTGTACCGATTGATTCTAACTACGTCTACCCCAATGACAGAGCCTGCTCATAGCTTCCTTCTAGGTTTTCCTCAGAGTTAGCTTAGGGGTTCCTTAGGAGATCTATACACTTCCCATTTCCCCTTTCCCTTCCTTCCAGGAGTTCTTTTACCAGTCTCTTGACTGAGTGCCATGTGTCCACCCCTATCCAGCTGTTCGTACGGCTGTCTCAGTGGTCAGGAGAGCTTGGTAGGGACCTTCCCAGCTTGGGCGGAGCTTCGCCAGGCTGGAAGTGGTGAACCGTGAACTCATGAGGCAGGGTTTGAATCAGAAATCCTTTCAACCTGAGGGATGACAGGGTGGAGGATATGGCCAGTGTATAATTTCTTAAAAATTCGTCTTTGGTTTTCATAGCAGGAAGGTCAGTAGTCCCACCTAAATCTGGGAGTCCATATAACAACTCGTAAGGGGACCGTCCCAGGCCTTTCCTCGGGGCTGTACTAATCCTCAGGAGTTGCTCTGGGGAGACGTCTGGTCCAAGGCACTTTAGTTTCTAAGATTAGTTTAGTAAATACGCTTTTGGAGAGTCCGATTCCTTTTTTCTACTTTTCCAGAGGAAGCGGGGTGCCAAGGGGTGTGGTAACCCATCTAATGTACAAACCCTCCAGAATTCCCCTTAGCACCCTCGAGGTAAAGTGGCTCCCATTGTCTGAATCAATATTTTCTGCCAGGCCAAATCTGGGTATAATTTGTTGTGAGATTATTTTGGCCACATACGTGGTGGTGGCAGTTGGGAGGGGGAGGCCCCTACCCAGGTGGAGAGGTGGTTTACCATTGCCAGCAGATACTTTTGTCTCCCTATTGTGGGCATTTTTGTAAAATCTACTTGAAGGAGGTCTCCCTCTGGTAGTTTTTTGTTTTTTTTGGTTTTTTTTTTGAGATGGAGTCTCGCACTATTGCCCCGACTGGAGTGCAGTGGTGCAATCTCAGCTCATTGCAACCTCCGCCTCCCAGATTCAAGTGATTCTCCTGCGCAGCCTCCCGAGTAGCTGGGATTACAGGCACCTGCCACCACGCCCAGCTAATTCTTTGTATTTTTAGTAAAGATGGAGTTTCACACTATGTTGGGCAGGCTGGTCTCAAACTCCTAACCTCATGATCCACCTGCCTCAGCCTCCCAAAGTGCTGGGTTTACAGGCATGAGCCTCCGCACCCAG